CATTACGGGGCCGGCTTGGTGGGGAAGTAGGAGGTGACAGACTAGCCTCTGGGGCTCCAGAATCTGAGCTACAAGAAAAAAAGAACATCTTCTTTAACAGGTTATGAATGGTTAAAGAAGTTAAATGCAACATGCCTCAAATGTTAGATGCTCTTTACTTAAGCAAATAAATACAATTATAAGGCTAGCTACAGATGTTTCCCAGAGAAGGTAATAAACTTAAGACTACAAACTGCAGCAGAGTGCAAGGTGGCACAACATTGAAAGCTTACGTGCTAACAGTGAAAGCTCCAGGCAGAAAACACATATGTAAAATGAAGAAATTCTTATAAAACTGCAGGGTTTTTTAGAGAAACTCATGACTTCCAGTTAAAAAAAAAAAAAAAGTCTTTTGCAAATGCTCCACAGGACATTTTCTTAGGGCTTTGCTCCTGAGTTTTGTCCAGAAAAACACTCAGGGAAAAAAAAACCCAGATTCAGAAGCTGAGCAGTGAATAACTTCACTGTCAAGAATAAAAACTGTCCTAGAATTAAAGAAATAGAAAAATACAAATTTATTTTTCAAGAAAATATACCCAAGGTTTAAATTATTTGAGAGAAAACAAATTTAAAAGAATCTTACAGTTTTTGTTCTTTTCCCTTTGTCTTTTCCATGGTTTTCTCATAGGCTTTTCTCTTTGCTAAAGGTGAAGGCTCAGGTATCTTCTTCTCTGACAGAGATGGCTGTCTAGAGCTAAAGCAAGAGGAATCATTATCTTACTTTAAGGCCCTTTACAAACTTACTTTTCTTACATCAACTGTCATTCTTCTACTCAGATTTCAAATTTCATAATGTGCTTCACCTATTACTGTCTCTCTTGAATCTATGGAGTTTAAATTTGTTCTTACATTTTAATATAAAAATACACCAAGTTTATTAACTTTCACAGTTCATTAACATATGAAAAAGATACTAAATATGCAAAGGAGATCTACTAATTCAATAATAAAAGAGACGGACTAGAAGAAATACAGTGAAGTATGCATCTCAAATTAATACCACAGAGAAGATGGAAGGTCTGACTAACATATTAAACTTTGTATTAACATATTCATGTTTCAATATCAAATTCAAAATTTTGATGTGAGAAAAAGTATTTCCCACTGACAGCCTGATTATTATTACATTGCTTCTCTGTGTCCCTCTTCCCTTTTTCCCTGCTTTCCATTCCTCCTTTGTGTCTCTTAGTTCTTGCTCTGAAATAATTCCAGTTCACAGTCACTGTGGTCTTTCTCCCA